TAGGGAAAGCGTTCTCTTGGCAATGCCATTTTTACCATTTTTATTGCCGTATATGTATTCTACAGGAAAATACAGCATGTTTTTCAATAGTGTTAAATTAAGTTTGCAGTTAAACTTCTTAATGATTCCAAGTAAGACGGAATAGCATGACAGCATGTCTTTTTGGAATGGACTTTGCTAAAAAGTAAAAAAAAACAAACCAAAACAAAAAAAAAACCCAAAAAAAGGCAATTGTAGGAAAAAGACAACTGTGTGGAAGTAGTTTTATTTAGCATTTCATTTTAAGGAATTGTTTGAGAGTATTACATAGTTAATTTTGAAAAAAATGACAGCATGTTATTATGTTTGCATTAAGAATATCAGAAGAACTTTCCTTTTGTATTTGGAAACTTATGACTCATTAATTCAAAACTTGCTACTTGAATTTTAAAGCTAATGTTTTTCAAGCATAGCAGTTTTATTACTTGGCAAAATTTACAAGATACCTGTTAATGTGGGGAACCGGTACTACTACTTTTATTAAATATGACACTATTTTTATTAAAATACAATTTTCCCAGAATTAGCACATGAGTCTGTGGTGCAGAAGATGCACGTATAGTTGAAAACTTTGATTCTTATCTTAAGAAAGATTAGAGTAGGAGAAATACTTGATATCAAAGAAACATGACTTTGATTTCTTTTTACTGTTTATATGCATATGTGTTACTGACCAGCTTCTTGCATGTGTTTACACACTATTCTGTTTTTACATTAATTGTAATTGAAAAAATGTTGGCTCTTTAGGTCTCTCAAGTATAGTTTAATAGTACAGTGACATTACCATGATAAAAAATTGAGTTTGTACAAGCCTAATTATGGCAGGGAATATGGGGATATACTTAATTCTGTGACAGAGCAGTGCTAGCCTTCCCTGTTGCCTGCAAGTCAAATGCCAGGCACAGTTTAGTTTATACTATAGTCTTTTCAAATCCAGAAATTAACAACAACTACTAATTTCTGGGCTGCACAAATAGAGAATAGAACACTGTATGTATGTATTTTTTTTGGTAATGCTTAGATTTTGAACCTGATCGTTTTCAAATTCCAGAAATTAACAACAACTACTAATTTCTGGGCTGCACAAATAGAGAATAGAACACTATATGTATGTTGGGTTTTTTTTGGTAATGCTTAGATTTTGGACCTGATCATTTTCAAATTGTACAGAATTATTTGCCAAACTGGCAGAGGGCTTAATAGATGCATAGACTTCTTAAAAAAAACCTGCAAGTCTTAAAAATTATATGGATTTCATCATAGGAGATGCAAGAGATGTTTATGTTTACGGAGTATGTTTAAAATAAAAATGTACAATAGATTTAGTAGAATGAGTTTGCTATTTTACATTCAATGGGAACAGCATGACCTATATTCTCTTGCAGTTTTGCAATTTTCCCTTAGGGTGCCCTAAAATTAAACCCTAAGTCATTTTTAGTTATAGTTTCAGACAGTCCTACTACTTTACAACCTACTGCTGTTTATCAAATGATGGCTGATTGTTGGTGACTGCCCTTTTACAAAGGAGGAAAGTGTTCCTTTTTTTTTTAACCTCTGTTCAACCTTCAGAACTGAGGTTCAGACATTAATTTTCAAATACATCTTAATTTTAGCTTTTATAGATGGGATTCTTTTTCCCTGGATTTGCAGCTGTTGAGTTACTGTGCCTCTTGAGAACTCATTTTTGGGGGGTTAATTTTTTTTTAATGGACAACATTCTGAACTACTGCACAGTACATGGTTTGCCATTGTTTCAAAAAGTTTAAAAAGGAGATCTAAATTTTAAGTGGTGAATGCAAACCTTCCACTTCCACAATTTACCAAACTAATGGAAAAGGACCATAATTCTTGTACAATGTTGGTGCTCAAGTTGTACATGTTATGTGAAATTACAAAAATGAAAATCTACTGTACGTTGCTGTGTTAAATGTTAAACCTTCAGAACTAATTACATATTTTCTGTGAAACTTTATTTTTATAGGTATTATGGCAACTTGACATATTTCGACGAAGTTTAAGAGGTTTAACTGGACATGTGTGTCAGGGAGATGCGTGCATATTTTGTGCTTTAAAGGTAAATAATAATTTTTGAAAGAATCATCTCATTTCAAAATGAGGGAAAAGTAATTTAACTAATTTTTACTAATTTATTTCCCTATCATACGTATGTCTGGGTGACTCATTCTTGCATAAAGGAACAATTTAGATTTAAGGACATTTATAACAGATGAATTGTAACAGAAATATTTTGTGTTTAATTTGTGTAAAAAAAATTTAAAGATGAAATTTTAGTGCGTAAATTTTACAGTCTGCTTAAACATAAAACTTTTGACTGTTAGAAGACAGTATAACTTATTTAAAAATTTCTAGCTAGCCTCAGAGATTCTTTTTCTTCTCTTTGCAGGCATATGCTTTTTTCTTTCCTGTAATGTTTACATACAGTTCTTTTACAATAACTATTACTGTTTGATAAGGTCTCAAGATTGTTTTCTGCAGTAGATGGTGGTAACAGTGCAGAGCTTAATTGTTCAGATTTTAAGTAATGAAAGGCAGGCAGTGGTCCTGGAAAACTGATGGAAGCTGGTAACTTTTTAGTGTTTGGAAGTAACTCAGATCTGCATATCTTAACTAGTGCTTCAGTTTTCTAACTCATCTGAAGTTGGTAAACAAACATTGAATTCTGTTAATGTTCTTACTGCTTTTACTGCACTGGTATCTGTCTGCCTGCAGTTACTAGGGAAACAGCTGTAAGCATGATACCTGTTTTATTGGGATAAAAATCTCAATGAAAAAATGTATAGAATCTATTTTTTAGTAGTATGCACTTGGTACTCTTACTGCAATTTGACAAAGACATTTTTGGATTCTAATACAGGACTGTAGCATTGTATAGTCAAATACAGTAGTAGATACAGTAATATACAGAACTGGGAATCACTCATCTGGAGGGAGCTGACAGGGACAACACTTTGAAAACGTAGTTCATTGAGGAAGTTTTTTTTTGACAGTGCTAAATCCTAGGCAAGGATAAGCCACCTGTTCGAGAGTTTATCCGGAGGGAGTTTCACAGACCAAACCTTGTTACTGAGTGTTTTAGGCAAGAACTGTTTGCAGTGATGTTTATTTAACCTTTCAGGAGGTAATCTATGTACTGTGTGGGGTTTTTTCAGCTGTTTTTAGTGTTTATCGTGATTGCAGCTGGTTTTGAATGTGTGTCTGTCTTTTTCCAAACATAACCTTTTCTAAAAGGTGCTATTTTGTTTCTTTGGTTAATTTTAAAAAGCCAACAAGTGAAAGTGGGTTGGGACTGCGCATATTGAGACTAACTTCCTGCAGCTCTTATTGCAACCTTTTTACGTGCTCTTGACTCTACAGAACTTGTTGGGACATTCAGTTTCACCAGTGTTTTGCTGCACATCATGTTCTTCTGTGTGCTAGACACTTGATCTTATTCGTACGTAAAGTCCAGACCATAACTTGGGCGTACCTATGTTTTCAGATAAAATCTTATCTGTCTTGGGATGATAGCTTCAGTTTCCTGGAGTTTTGTGTGTATAGGGATTCATGTTTATATCTGATGTCATAATAGTGTAAACTTTATGGCCTTTTGATTTAACCCATATTGCATGTCAAGTTCTGGTCATATAGTCTTGTTCAGTGCTGCACTAGAACCAGCTTTAAGAAATGGAGAGGGCTTGAAGGGTTGTTGGAATGTACATGTTACACTACATACTCTTAATGACTAATCATGTCGCTGAAATCATAGTAAAAAAATAACGTAGCAGCTTCAGTGTGCTCAGACGTGAAGAAGGTAGTGCTCATGGTGTGTTGCAATTGAACTTGTAATTGATCATTCCATTCTAATGGTGCACTTGTTTTTTTCAAGCTAAGCATGGCACTTGCTGTACCTTAATACTCTCTCCCTGTAGTTTTTGGGGCTCCAGTTCAAAGCAAGTGCATTACTTTGTCACCTTTCAAAGCAATACACTAGCTTCAGCTGCTTTGTAAGACTGCTGTAATTTAGGACTTGAAATTTTCTTTATTCTTTCAAGTATCTTTTCTTGAGGGATTGATTAATCCCATGATGCGTGTTCTTTGGCGATTTATCCAAATGGCTTACTGTACCTGAATACTTCACATTACCTGGATTGTCATGTCTTCCTATTTTGATACGTTCCCAAGAATACTGATAAGAAGTGGTATTGGTGCCTGTTCTGAAATTGGTTAGAATGGAGTTTGTTATTGTTTTAACAGTATAGTTGTGATCTTTGTAACTCTGTGGCCAATAGCCTAGGTACTGAACTCAAAACGTTGTGATTAACTCATTTGGAAGTGTCTGTCCTCAGTCATTATGTACACTGCTGGTTTTGCTTTCTTGGCTTTCTAGAGATACTGGTTGAGTGATTCTGTTTGTTTTTCTGTGTTCAGAACCTGGGGTGTTTTGATTTTTCGTGCAGTGTATGTGCTGGATGAGGATGCATTTCGGTAACTTGTTTATGACTTGGGTGTTTGGGGGGGGTTGGGGTTTTTTTTGTGGTCTTGGGCTATTTTAACCTTTCTTACTTGTTGATCAATAAAGAAGGATATTTTATCAGCCTCTCCTGTAAACTAAAAGTATGGCAAATAAGTTCCAGTTTACTTCAGTTCAATCCATTATCTTTTTCTTTCAGCGGTGTTCTGAGAGTTAAATATGCTCTTTTCTTCTCTGGCTAACACCGAGGTGGGACTTTGACTATGCAGGCCACTAAAATGAGCATACAGGTCTGCATAACTGCTTATCTGTACTTGTTTTTAGCTGGACATGTAAGGCTCTGTTGCATACCAAAAATGACCTAGCAGCCAAAATGAGAAGTGATGCCTGTTTTCAAAGTGGAGTTAACTTGTATTGCTAGATCTGTCAGAAACTTAATTCTGAATGTTTACATTGAGATACCGACTGTAAATTTTATCAGTAGTCCATGGTTTTTGTTATGAGCGGGAAGTTTAAGTATTTGACAGACACTTAGCATGGAAGGCATCATGGTTAAAGCACTACTTTCTGTTAGCACTAAAACTTTCCTTATCTGTTGTATCTTTGCCTTCTCTCCAACAGGTTGGTTTTTTGTTTAACCATAGGAGGCCTATGTGAAGAATGCATATACTTATTTATATTTTACATGGCTTCTCTTACTTGCTTTGTCTTTATTCACTTCATTTTTCTCTGGTGTTTGGCTTAGAATTCTTGACAGTGGAATACACCCTTTAATATCTGCAAATATTTTCTCATTCATTTAATATCTTTCAGTTCTTTCAAAATCAACCTCCCTTACTCGCTGCATGATGAGGTCACTTACATATGTATCTCTGCCAAAAAGAAAAGTAACAGCCATCAATCTCTTGTGGGAAATGAAGAAAAAAATCAAGTGCAATTTATTCTCATGTTCTGGAACTGCCGATACTGACCTGTTCTCTTGTATTGTGTGCACTGGCTCAGCAGAGAGCTGAGATACGTACGCGTGGACAGCTGTTCCAGTGACCAAATTAAAAAAGCTGCATAATTACAGACGAGGGCTTGTGGTCCTTCTGGGAGCTAAAGTCAATCACTTGCATTTTTGTCTACTTCTATGTTGTTTTTCTACTGGATCAAAGTTCAGTTTGGTAGCATAACTTCTTATAATGCAGTGAGTAACAGAACATGGAACTTAAGGAACTTCAAGAGAAAACAGTAATTTCTAAAGTTATATAGATTTATAAACATTTTATATATTTGCTGTTTTAGGCATGGTGCATAAGAACGGATATATTTGTGTAGAACCGTAGTGTCTAGTCAAGTGGCTAATGAAGTAATCATATTTCTTCCTAGGCAATATTTTCACAATTCCAACACAGTCGAGAAAAAGCACTCCCGTCAGATAATATGAGACATGCCCTGGCAGAAAGTTTTAAGGACGAACAGCGTTTCCAGCTTGGATTCATGGATGATGCAGCAGAATGCTTTGTAAGTATTCTTGGTGATAGTTGAGTAGAACTACGTTCATTTTGTGGGTGCCAAGCTGGCCTGTTGGTTTGGTGGCTTGAGTCTCACAGGTGGGGTACAAGTGACATAGTACTCCTGACCTTCTTTATGGTGGTTTAGGGGAACAGACACATGGAGTAAGCTTCTGGTGACGTGGGACAGAGTAATCTTGCATTTGCTCCATGCTTTCTTCCCTAACTGTGTAGCTTAGAGGGATATGTGAAAGGTGGTTAGTACAGGGGATCGGTGAGGATGATGAGCTCTGAATCACTCCTACAATTTTTGGATGGAGAGAAAGGTTATGTTCTTGGGAGAAGACACCTAAGGATTTGAATATAGTCTGTTCCTCCAAGATTCTCTCATCAGCTATTGAAATATGTTCCATTACAACTAGCCAGCTCATTACTGAAGTCTTCTGCAGAAGAGATTTCCATTTTCATAGCCAAGAGTGAACTAATACTTGAAGATCTTGACTCTTGCTGCAATTTTATGCTTTTATGCTTTTATGAAATGTCGAATTGAAAAACATGAGCTGTTACTGTGGCCATAACAGATGATTCAAGATTGCACAGAACACTGGTAAAGAAGCCTTTCTAAGAAGCCTGTATTAGACCATAAAAAAGAAAAAAAAAAAAAAAAATTATGTTAACTTTCAAACAGATTTGAGGGACAGAAAAGATGGTTGCTACTTTGATTACTTTCAGCTTTGGACATTCTTTGGAAACATCCACAAATGAAAACCTACTTGCCAGATGCATTTTCACATATGTAGGAAAATCCAGTGGCTGTTTGAGATCTTGCAGTCAGGTTAATGGATTGCAGTCATGAAAGAGAATCTCTTGTTAGTGCGCCGTCTGAGCAAAACGCATTTGGACCCCTGAAGTAATCGGCTGTCTGAACAGTCTACCAGAATAGATTCGCTTCTTCCTGTTACCTCTGGTATTTTTGGCAAAAGAGGAAAAAATGGTCATGCTGATTCAGGGGCCAAACCGATGACAGTCATGGTACTTTTTTTTTTTTTTTCCCTCTTTCTTTTCTTTTAAAGTTAAAAGGTGAGACTTGGGATGGGATCAGACATGTGCTATTTATGAGGGTTTTTTCTGCTTCTGACAACAGTGCTTGTGTTGGTGCATGTGCTAAATGTGATCAGATTGATAAGCAGAGAAAAACATAAAAGGGTGAAGAACAACTGAGACAGAGGCCTGATGCAAAAAAAAAAAATTCATTTGCATGCAATGACATTAATATCGTGTCTTACTGTAAGAACAGCTTTTTCAATTTTTCTTGAAGATTTACTTCCTTAAAGGAGAACGCACTCTGGAAGAAAAGTTGGGTAACTGTTGTCTAATGCTGTTTTGTTAATGTTTGGAAACCTTGAGATGAAGAGAATTCCCATCCACTGGGTTGTGTGGAATGGGGGGATGGAGAATTCCAGTCCACTGGGGATGGAATTAGATACATGTTAAACTTTCGGGTGAACTATTTGGAGCCAAGGGGAGTATTAAACTGTAGTGTTGCTCATATATTCAGACTTCATCAGTTCAGTTTATATTTACGTTATTATTTCTATTTAGGAAAATATCCTTGAGAGGATTCATTTTCACTTAGTGCCAAACAGTGAAACAGATATGTGCACTTCAAAATCCTGTATTTCTCATCAGAAGTTTGCTATGACGCTGTATGAACAGGTCAGACCTTTATTTGATTGCTTTAACAAATAATTTGTTTCCGCTGTCCTATGTAAATAAAAACAAAAGTATTTTTATTTTTGTAGTGTGTGTGTCGCAGTTGTGGAGCATCATCAGACCCATTGCCTTTTACGGAATTTGTGCGTTATATTTCTACCACAGCCCTGTGGTAAGAGGTTTTATTTTTGTGTATCATTTTTCTATATACACCCTTCCTGTAATAATCAAAGCATGCCAGAGAAATGCTGGAAGTATTAAAAATGAATGTGTATTCCTTTGTTAAAAAGCGTTTTTGAGAGCTTGACAAAAAGTATGTATTGCTACTGGTTTACCTCTATATCTTTTCTTTTTAGTAATAAGATGTAGTTAACAGAGTTGACTGAAAACTGGTAGCTCTAAAGAAAGGAGATCCACAGTAATTTCCATTTATTTTTTTACAGTAATGAAGTAGAAAGAATGATGGAGAGGCATGAACGACTTAAGCCGGAAATGTTTGCAGAATTGCTGCAGGCAGCAAATACTGCTGATGACTACAGAAAGTGTCCTGTAAGTAAACAAAGATGTTGTGTTACTTTAAGATACGAGGGAGAACTTTTTAGGATATTTAATCAAGCTGAAGTGTTCCCTTAAAGCAGGATTAGCTGTGGCCACCTCAGCACAGTCCAGCTTAGGGTAAAAAAAAAAGCCCTTAAATTTATATTTTATTGCCCCATGTATAGATAAACATTGTACTGTAGGTGCAAGTGGCCTGTTTAGGAAGTTGAGTTATTAGGTCTGTGTTTTATTCTTTGTTTCATATTCCATATAGAGCTAAATGGTTTTGATTAGTTGGAACAGGTGTATTTTCTGGGTGAAGCTGCTTTACTTCATATACACTGACAGCTTGACAACATTGTCTTCTATTGGAATAATTTTGTGCTTCTATTGACAAAAATAGTCTCTTTTAGCTTGTTCTACTTAATTCCTTTCTTCCTTAAATGGTTCTATGTAAATAATGTTAATTTAGGAACCATAGAAAAGTACACAAGAGCATATAGACCTAAGCTCAAATGATGAAGGGCGGGGGGCATGCAAAGGAGAAATTGTGATGGTGACTTGGATGTTTTCAGAGACTTCTGTTTTAAGGTGGTGATTGGAGGTAGAAGTTCAGGTATAGTCTTCATTAGAATGTTTTTTATGATGAAGAATTTTGTCTTTAAATTGTTAGAAACAAACACCATTAATTAAATTTAAGAATTAGAAAAAGTTGCAGAGTTGTTTTGTTGCACTATTTCTTGTCTACTAACTCAACTTTGGACTTCCATTTTTTAAACATCTTTGTTTTCCCTCCCGTTGCATTTCTTTTCTCTTTTTCTAGAGTAACTGTGGTCAAAAAATAAAAATTCGTCGTGTTCTTATGAATTGTCCAGAGATTGTCACAATTGGTTTAGTCTGGGATTCAGAACACTCTGACCTGACGGAAGAGGTTATGCGGAATCTGGCAACACAACTTTATCTTCCTGGGGTATCTGACCTAAAACTTACTATTTGCTTATTCTAGAACTTAATTTTACATGTATTTTATTTGTATGTAAATATAAATACATAATACACCCAGGTATTTTTTTTAAAAAGCACAATTTAATTTCAAAGTTTATGTTTACTTTTAAGAGTCTTTATAATGTGTTGCTTGATGTAGTTTCTGTGAGAGGAAGAAGTCCCATCAGAACCGTTGGTCTTGTGCCTAAGTACAAGGATGAATGTAGGTGAATTCCTAGTTGAAAATCTGGGAATGTCATGTTCAGTTTGAAATTCGTGCAATTATTCTAGGGCATTGTTGCTTTACCCTTTCAGCTCTGCAAAAACAAATGTTAAAATGGACCTAATAAGTGCAAAAATCATCATTTATACTCCTGTAAATTTGTATAGTACAACAGGATATTTAATATCAGTTGCCTTGGTGAAATGCTAGTAGTATGTCTGGAAATTGAGGCTATATGTTTTACACTTATTTTAAAATATGTAACCATTTTTACAGCTGTTTTATAGGGTTACAGATGAAAATGCCAAAAATAGTGAACTTTTTCTTGTGGGAATGATTTGCTACACAAGCCGACATTACTGTGCCTTTGCCTTTCACACCAAGAGTTGCAAATGGGTGCTGTTTGATGATGCTAATGTAAAAGAGGTAAATATTGTTTTTACTGCTACCAAATTTAGTGATCTTTACTTTTCTAGAATGCACTCTTCTGACACCAAGCTTGGAACAAGTCAAACAAATGTCTTTATTTTAATAAACCTTTAGTTTTGTAAATCAGTTTTTATAAATCAGTTTTCACAAACTTAACTTTAGAATTGACTTCAGTGCAGTTCTGCCTTACAAATGCTGGATGTTTCAGAATGTTAATGTGTTTGTCTGCTGTTGAATTTGTACTTCTTTTAATAAAAAAGACGACCTGATTAGTGGCATCTGTATTTGTAGTGTTAATCTTCTGATTGTTAGCCCCTGTAAGACTGGTTCTAGCTTTTTGCCACAGTTTACATAAACTTGATGTGCCGGAATGATGAATCTTAATATACCTTTGGAATTAGGCATTTGGTACCTGTTGCTTAATAAATTATTCTTTCCATAATTGGGTTCAATGCTATCAATAAAGTTTTGGGGGTTTGTTTTTGTTTGTTTGTTTCTTAGATTGGAACAAAATGGAAAGATGTGGTCTCCAGGTGCATTCGATGTCACTTTCAGCCATTGTTGCTATTTTATGCCAACCCAGATGGCACAGCTGTTTCTCCAGAAGATGCTCCGAAGCAGATTATTCACTGGTCTCAATGCAAAGCAGCAGCAGGAGGAAATGGGGAAGACTTAGGTAACTGAGAGTTGATACTGTTATAAAAATATATCTATCTCTCTCTATTTCTGAAATGGGGATTATAAAGGAGAAGGTAATGGATTAACTGCTTTGTTCTTAAATACTTTTATCAACAATTATCTAAAGGTCTCGAAAGAGATTAGTATATCAGTTTTGTGTCTAATAAGGGAATACAAATTGAGACTCATGGAAAATTGGGAAAAAAGATTTTCTATTGTAGTTTGTTCATAGCTACTTTACACAACTTCAGTAATCTCAGAAGAAAATCATAGTATATTTGTGTTTGCGGACGTTCTTGTGTATAGATAAATTTAAAATATCATTAAAAATGCTATAAAAAGGTACTTTAAAGCTTCATACAAATGTGGAGATATTTCGAGCACGTGGGTTTGTATATGTGTATATACACACATACACACAGATCACAATTCAGAGCTTTGGGAAAAATCAGAAGGACCTGCAGGAAACTTTTCTCCAAAATTTTTATAGGACAGGCCTCAATATGTAAGAGTCCAGTCTTGTGGTTCTGTAACTTGTGCTGCTGTGGTTTTGGTTTGGTGGTTGTTGTTGTTTTTAATGTTAAACATAACATCAAGTGAATTAAATAAAAGGCCAATTGAATTTGGTGTGTTCCTCTTCACATATTGAGTAGCAATAGGACATAGACCGCTTCAGGGAAGAAAGAATTGAGGACCCTGTTTCACTACAGCTTACCACTATAAATATAGCAGTATATAAAATATTAGAGGACCTTATTGCCTAGTATATTGAAATGGGGTGTGGGTTTTTTGAGGCTTTTCTTTAGTTTGGGTTTTTTTTTTTTTTAATCAGCAATTAAAAAATTTTCTTATTTTTTAATGTAGATATTGGAAACTTTAAATTAGGAGGCTTTTCATTTCTAAAGATATATATATATATATATATGTTATTTGATAGGATTTGAAAGGCATTCTGCTCCTAAATCAGACCATACGAAAGAGAATGGAATTGGAGACCCCACTAATCAAAGGAGTAATAAAAAACTTCAGCCAGATAATTCAGCATTCAGTAGAAGCCATGTTCAGGCTAGTGGTGGTAGAGGTCCAGGTATGTATCCCGTGATATGCAACATTATTTGTAGTCCTGTGTATTAATGGACTTTATCTTATGTTTGGAAAGATAGTAAAAAAAGTTCTTAACTGTTTAAAAATCCATTCTACCTGTACGTTAAGCTTCCAAGTCAAGCTATAATATGAGGCAGTGACTTCTGCATTACTTGTCAGTGCCTTTGCTCTGAACTCCCCATAGTTCTCAGGTGGGGAGATGCTACCTTCTCTTGAGATGTCTCTGTCTTTATTGCTGAATTCCTAGACTTTTTAAAAATGAGGATGCCCAGCTTGGTAACTTTTTTTAATGGTGGAATGATACTGAAAAATGATCAGTAATTACCTTTTCAGAAATAGAAGGATTTATTTTCATGAACAGCAACTTCACTGTTTTATTAAAAGTAAAACTTCGCATTGAGACAACATTAAACTTAGATTAATTTTTTTCAGTGTAATTTATAAAATTTGATGTGAGTCGTATATGCTTTGAAAATGGCTTGAGCATTCAATTTTAATAAGAGGTGTTTGTAAGACATGCTTGACATAATGCTGCTTTGGTTACTTTCATTACTGGACTCCTTGGAGATACCCATACATCTATATCTGTACTCTACATCTCATTTACTTAATCTGTGTTGCATAGTTCATTAGTACTACTAATATTAAAAACTAAATGTTATGGTACATAAGTATTTTCATATGATGAATGACTTTAATAATGATCTTTGACAAAAAGTATTCTTTGCAGCTAAGTTAGGTTTCAGCGATCAAAAGGACAGGCTAAAGGACATATCCAGAGAGTGTGCTCAAAAAGCTGCTGATATGAAAAACTTCTCATCTTTACGAAAAGATGCAGACAGAGGACCAAGAAAAGAGTCTGGGAGACAAAGAGGTACCTTTTTAAAATATGACCAGAGAATCAATGGATTAAATAGCTTTTAGCATCAATAATAGCTGTGTAGACTCTTTTTTTTTTTTTTTTTCTCCTTTTAAGAGAACATGCTGTAAGATTAGAGTTTCCCAGTTTTCAGTATTCTGAAATAACGTGCTGAATTTGTTGAGGTGTAGTGTAAGAAACGGAAGTACTGTCACCGTATCGGTTAAATGTTGGTGAGAAATTTAATGGAACTTTTTTGGTTTTCCTCTTGTAAGATTTGATTGGGGAAGATCGTTCCAATGTGAAGTCGGGGTCTCCTCCAGTTGGAAATGGATTTAGACACTGTGCTGATCAGCGCATATACAGCAGCCAGGGAAGAGGCTCCTATAAGCATGACAGTGCACCTCACCAAGCAAAGCTTTCTGTACAGGTGCTTGGATCAAATAAACCAGAAGCTTTTCCTGCTGGGGAGAAACCAATGATCAGGACCCGGACAGATGGTATCGCTGGTTACGATACAGACACCAGTCAAGACTCTAGGGACAAAGGAAGCATCAGCGGCAGCAGGAGCAGAAGTAAAGGTTGGAAACCTATGCGAGAGACACTAAATGTAGACAGCATTTTCAGTGAGACTGAGAAGAAACAGCATAGCCCAAAGCACAAGGCAAACCTGAACAGTAAATCTAAGCATGAAAAGGAGCGAAGCTTTAACCATTGGCCAAAAGAGAACCAAATCCAGAAAGGTTTAATGACTATATACGAAGATGAAACCAAACAGGATACGGGAAGTCGAAGTTCACTGGATTCGGAGGGAAAAGGGAACGCTGAAAAAAGCAAAGGATTTACAGAGAGAAAAATCCATGGTGATAACTGGCAAATTCAGAGGACAGAATCTGGATATGAAAGCAGTGATCATATCAGCAATGGATCTGCAAATCCGGACTCGCCTGTTATTGAAGGAAGCAATCCAGCAGATGTCAAGAACGTTAAAGAAAGTGCTTCCTGCAGGTAATGCTAATGCTCTTAGAACCTGCCTAGATTGTGTTTGCAGAAAAGTAAGTTCTTCTAATGTTCATGTGTTGTTTCAAAAAAAAAAAAAAAAAAAATCAAGAAAACATGCTTTGGAACTTTATCTGCTTGAGGTCAGGAATGTAGAAAGCTAGCAATGTATCTAGAAATTAAGTGTTAAGTTTACCTTCACTCTGAGGCTGCAACACTAGTCCTGTTTGGAAGGCACAGAGCCACATTAGTATGGTGCTGAGCCAGAACTGCTAGGCCCTGCTGAGGGGCAGGGTGTGTGAATTTGAAATAATTGCTACACTTCTCTAGTTACAAGTTTTTTAGAGTGTGGGTAACTTGCTATCTGTAATGGAATACAAGTGTCCACCTAAATCGTATCTGTAACAGTTGCAGAGACAGGCCCCTGACAAGGAGATGGGAATGGCCGTAGCTGAATCTTGTGTACTATTACTAATCACTGCTCTAAAATTCAGTTTTCTAGAACACCTCTGATATATATTGATGACTTGATAATTGATTGACCTATTTGAAAGGAATCTTCACTGAAAAATGTGAAATTACTAAAACTGGTCCAAAATGTTGTTAGTAGCCAAATGTTATTAAACTTACTAAGAACTGATGTATGCTAGTAACAAGTGTGTTGAGCGGAGACATTGTGGAGTCTCTGTCTGTGAAGATACTCGCAACCCAACTGGACATGGTCCTGGGCAAACCCACTGTAGTTGACCCTGGTTGAGCAAGGGGGGTTGGACTGGGTGATCTGAAGAGGGCCCTTCCAACTTAACTGATCATGGGGAGCTGTGAAATAGAAAGTTATTGACCTTCCACATGCAGTTTTCTGTATTGTGTGGCTTAAACTGTATATGGAATGTAGTTCCTACTAGAATCCAGACATACTTCTTTGGAATCTTGTTTATATCCGTAAAATGGAAGAGCACAGTTGTGAGACCAAGCCTAGTCACAAATGATTACTAGATCTGAGCAAATTTTTGAACATGTACTTTCATTTTACAGGGGAAGAGAAGAGCAAATACCAGGAGATCAAAAGGCTTTGACTTCTCTAAGCAGAGATACAAAATTTAAAAACTTATTTCATAATGTCTTGTAGCAAGTTATCAAAACAATTTTTTTTTTTAATTTAAAATGTACAAAATACAGCTTCTGTATGCATTGAAATATCTTAGATTATTTTGGAACTGCAAGAAAGCAAAATCAGTCATTTGCTTTGTTCTTGGTTTAATAAGCACTTTTTAAATTTTTTATGAAATTCTTTAGTTTACAGTGAGGAAAAAGTGCAGTTGGTTCTTACTCACAGGTGACACATCGTTTTTCTATTGTCGATAACTTTGGGAACCAGCTAGCTTTATTAAGCAGGTTAACATGATATTAAGATGAAGAAAATCTGCTTTTTATGTGCTGCATATTGGGCTTCCTGCTGTTGTATTCTAGAGTAAGGCTGGAATGAGTGAGTGTCCCATGTCCAGAACAAACTGGGAACATAAGCCTCAGAAACCGTATTTTTTTTTGTTTGTCCGTATTAAAGGATTCAGGTCATCCTAAATTTCTTTGCATCGGCATAACCTATCATGTGTGGGAGTGGTGTTAAAAGTATTAAAGGGCCACCCCTATTATCTTATGTATCTTCTGTAAAGTGTGTGTTAGTAAAAAAATGTGACCGTGATGATGATAAGAGTCGGTTTCCCATAGGAAAATTTTTACGCTTGTATGCACTCAAGGTAATACAGTTTGTGATTATACATCAATAGTTTAAGCCTTCAAATTACATGTATGCTTCTTTTACAGCGAACAGAACTTTTCAACCAAAAAAGCTGACACTGTCTTACCTTCAGTATCTCAGCAGAACAGAAACTTTTATGGTAAGAACTTTAACTTTTATAAAGAATAAAAAAAGTCTTCTAAATATAGTTTAGATGTACCAGAATTTTAATACTAACTTGCTAAAGTCACACAAGAGCTGGACAGATTTCTGATTAGCTTTTTGTGTTTTATAATTTTGCTGCATAAGTTAATGTTGTATTTCATAAAATTGAAAAATGTATATACAATTTATCATTGCTTTTCTGTTTTTAGAAGCCATAACCAAATATTTCGAAGTTAGACAATTTGTGTATCAGGTTGGCCATATTTAGGTGGATTGGAAGAAAATTGGCATGGAATTTGTGGCTGTTTTGTCCATGATGTTAGGGGGTTTTACATACTTTTTTCAGCAGAGTGCTCTCTTGCTGACTCATCATAGCCTGTGTACTCTGTCTTTTTTAAAATGACAAAAGAAATCTGTTTTATGGGGTTTTTTCCCCTCCAGTGAATTCCAAATTTTGTTCTTGTTTGTGGTTTTTAATCTTTTCTGTGATTTAGACCGATGGATAAAGATGGAAAGTGTTTATATGCCTCCTTGGTACATTTTGATGGGGGGGAGGAGCATGATATCTCACAAACAGTTGTTTCACGTGACCTTTAGCACCAAAGTAATAGGCTAGTTGATTTTTTTTTTTAACGCTTGGATCTATTTTAAACACAGTATTTTGGTGTGGAAAAATGTAAGTGTTGTTTTGGGAGGCCACAGCTTCTTTATAAATCGTTAGATAATCAGGATACAAAGATTCTTCTTGCCATAGACGTCCTCTCCTGGTGTGTTTTGTTACAAAGCATTTTCTTTATAGGTTGATAGAACAGTTTGTCCTTCCTTGTGCATGTCATATACCATGGCCTCCTCAGGAAGCGGCCAGTGCGTACCTGCTCTGGCTGGTGTAGGTTCTCTGTGCTAGAACGGAAAACACTATTGTTCACCAGTATTAGTGATTTTACCAAGGCCTGCAGTGACATGACAAGGGGCAATGGTTTCAGAGTGAAAGAGGGGAGGTTTAGATTAGATACTAGGAAGAAATTCCTAACTGTGAAGGTGGTGAGGCACTGGCACAGGTTGCCCAGAGAAGCTGTGGCTGCCCCCTCCCTGGAAGTGTTCAAGGCCAGGTTGGAAGGTTGGACAGGGCTTGGAGCAGCGTGCTCTAGTGGAAGGTGTCCGTGCCCGTGGCAGGGGGTTGGAACTGGATGGTCTTTAAGGTCCCTTCCAACCCAAACTATTCTATCATTAGATGATTCTGTGATTTTTGGATGACCCTATGCTGGCATAAGACATCCAGTGTAATTAATTTTCACTGGCCGTAATGGGTGCTTTCTTTTTAATCAATGGAAATTATTAAAGTTAGATCTCCATTTCTGTTGCTTATATTCTGCTTTGAGAATGTACTTCTCAGTTTTTAATGTTTTGATTTTGTTCTTTTTTTTTTTTAGCAAGTGTGCACGTGCCTTCCCTGCCCACCACCCCACCAACCCCACACCCCCCCACCCCAAAAAAAAGCCCACAACAAAAACCCATGGTGATCTTGTTTGCTCTTGTTCACTCCCTTTGTTTTCCCCAAAAGCATTTCTGTGAGCTTTCTTGGTGGATACTAAGGAAGATTTTTTTTTTAATGTCTGGGTGGACTGTGGTACCACTTGTTTTCCTTCAAGATATGAAGGAATATCAGGAAGAAACACTTGTAATAAGGAAATCTACTTCCTCTTACATACTAATATGTCTGTTGGGTTTTTATAAAGTTGATAAATGCCTTGGCACATAAATACTATAGGTCAGCATGAGGCCAGCCAAAATCATTATCTACTGTTGCTGGAACAATGGAATGGTGCTTGTACAAAGAGGTGCAATAAATATTAGGCCACTTCCCCAGGAAATGTTTGATTTTTATAGATATCATACTTCTTTTCAAATAATGTGTAGTATAGTTTCTTCTAAGATATACATTGGGGCGGGGGTTTGCCATACCGCTTTTATCTTTTCTGTCATTATTCAAATTTAGTTCTCTTTCTGCAACCAAAAAATAATTTGATGTTTGTTTATTTTGACAACAAAAAAACCAAACCCAAAAATTGATGGTGCATGGAGTGCAAAGACCTGTTTTTGCATGACGTGTATTTTGCTGTAGTTCTGTACATACTATACTTAAGATACCAGCGGGGGGGGGAAAAAACAACCCACACTTGGAGAGCAAAAAGAAAAAAACAGCAGTGAAAAATACATAAAGGACTCTGTCAGAATGAAAAATAGGTAGGCTCAAACAATGTTTGAGCTTAGTAATGAGTATTCTCTGGGGAGAGCCAGGTACTGTGCTTAAGTATACTTTTAAGTTTTCAACATGCATTGTACATTTTCTTTAAAAAAGTGTAGTGATTCCAGGTGATCCTTGGAGTTATCATAGCAAATTGATGATAAGTTCCTATCTATTCAGTTATTCTAATTCAGTAACTTTTGAAAAATTTTGTAGCAGAAATATGTTTTCTAAATCAAATGTGGAGTTCTCACGTGTGTGCATGTTTTGGAAAATAATTCTTTCAGTGGAAGTGATTAATGGAGTGAAAAGATAACTGAAGGATTTGATCATTTCACATGTATGTGGGCTTAAAGACATATTTAGACTCAGTTTTTTGGTTGTCTAAAAAGTGTGTCAGGACACCTTTAGCAAGGACAATAGTAGTAATTTACAGGCATCAGCTGTATTACCTTATGTTATATCTCTGAATATTGTGAACAAGACATGAATTGGTAGGTAGATACCAAGTGGACTCCTAGAAAATAGTACTTTAAGAAAGAAATGCCCAGTCCTTTCTGAGAAATAAATGGAATGTAAGAAATCTTTGTTAGCCTCTCATGGCAACTTGAAGAAATATCTCTGGGTGGTGTTTTTGTGTGGTAAATTTCATGGAAATGATGTTGGACTTCTCATTATGCCCACCATTTGTATAACTGTGCTTTACCAGTTCCTTGCTTTTAACTGGAGCTGAATAAGGCTACTGTTCAGCAGTTGGGGAATTCTGTCGCTGACTTATAAAAATAAACTTATTGTTAGTGTTATAAAGATAGTAACATTAGATCACACATTGGTTATGCAGATCAAATGGCTGCTTCTCTCAGAGGTAGTGAGCAGTAGATAAGTGTAGTGCTGAAGCAGATTTCGCACAAGGCCCATCCCTAATTTTTGTGATCAAATTTTGGCAGGAAACCAAGGATATTAAGTAAGCAGATACAGTATACTTGATTTATATTAATGAGTTAGTGTTTATGAATTTTGAACTTGATGAACTGTGGAGGCATAACTTCTGTGACATGAGCAGTGTGAGGGCAAAATTTCCAACGTCACATTCTTCAAGTTGAAGGAAGATGACTATAATTCTTGGAAGCTGGAAAGGCTATGGATTTTTTTTAATGGATTTTCAGAGCAGTCTGTGTGCTAGCAACTGATAATCATTTTCAATCATAAAGGGGTTTCCAGTGGCTATCATGACAACCTTCCCCGATTGCTAAGGTACAGATGTCTTCATGAAATTGCCATTCCTGACAATTTCAATACATTAAGAAAAAAAAAAAAAAATTAAATCTTAGAAGCCCTGTCTTCTAGATTCTTCCCCTCCTACCCCTGCCCAAAGCTCAGAGCACTT